TTCCTTTGCTCCTGCATTTCTCAGAGGCGCGCGCACGACGCATACGTACTACGTCATCCGCCTGAACGTCTTCCACGTACCACAGTCAGCGGAAGTGAGAAAAAAGTGTTTATTACGTTTGAAATATGGATATTTATCTTTAAAAAATGCTTGGATTCGCAACAGGAGGCCTTTATTCACATCCCCGGAGCCGTGTGAGGGATGTTTTATTACGGATGCATGCACTTTATTTCACGTCTTCTGAACTGTTGACAACCAACACCTGTTTACTCCCATTGAAAGGCTTGGAGGAGCCAGGACAATTTTTAATATAACTCCAATTCGATTTGTCTGAAAGAAGAAAGTCACATACACCTAGGATGCTTTGAGGGTGAGTAAAACACAGGCTAATTTTCATTTTTGGGTGAACTAACCCTTTAAAGGAGATCTCAGATGCCTATTTTGTGCAATTTGGTTAAAAGACAATCTCTTTAAACTTGTCAAGAACTAATATTTCACCCCACAATAAAAAATACAAATATATTTTATATATTTTATTTTGAGATGAAATATCACTGGAAACATCCTTTCTGGACATATTTTTACAAAATAAGAAAAAGTACTTTTTTTTTTTTTTAAATCATGGTGGTATTTATGTCCTTTATTTTGTAGAAATGTGTCCTGATAGCATGATTTTCATTATTGTATTACACTAATGAGAAACTAATGACAATCATCATTGAGAATAATGACAATTTAAACTCGCAAGTAAACTATCTGGACGCATTATAGTATTGAGAATTGGGTGGGAAATATGCCTAATTGTTATTAAAATAACAATGCATTGCAAATAATAATAATTATAAAAAAAATAAAAATACCAAAAATAATTAAATATTAACTATATAAACAATAATAAGATTACATTTAACAGCTTCATTTTAAAATACATAAATATATATATATATATATAAGGTGATTGTTTGCTGGTACTGATACGATATATTTCATATATCATTCTTTATTCATCAAAGAAGAACAGAAACCATATCTAGCTTATATATTTATATAATATCAGGGGCAGGTTGCTGTGTAAATCACGCATGATGATGGTAGAATAGAGCATGACGCACCCGATGTATATGTAATTGCCAAAAACATCTCAAGGTTATAACGTTACCTGTAATGGAATCTGCCGAGGCACCATCGAGCAAACAGATGAGATGTGTGTGTCCCTCACCGGTGACTGTTTCCCCGCCCTCTGCCCTTTGCTCTGTCCGTTTGATTTGCTCTGACCCACGCTATAATCAAGAAGGGTCTGTAGTCTCACACGGAGAAACGGCAAATTTCTTCATTGGGCGGCAGCTGTTACTAAATACTAGCTGGTGTTTTCCTCTAGGGGGCGCGTGGAGGCTCAAAAAGAGAATTCTTCATTGAGTCACATTTACAAATTTAGAACGCTTTTAATTTCACTGGAATTATTTGTGTACGTAACCGTGTAATCGTTTTAATCTATACATTTCTTTGGTATCGACCCTGACATACAAATGGAAATAAGTCCCAATAATCTTTAATAAACGATTTTGTGAAGCCTTCTTTCATTAATCACTAACGAACGTGGTTGGTTCATCCTGCTCGGCGCTGAGAAAAACAACACTTACCACGTGATAAGTCGTCATGAACAATAATTTAATCCTTAAAAATAAACTGATATTGTTTAACAGCCATTGTATTAAATATACCCAAGAAATGAAGTTGGAGAATTATTATTTAGACCGGTTCGTTTTTGACAGTTTATTAATCACTTCCGGGCCGCTATACCGTCTAGTCTTCATAACCGAAGCTTCATGATAATCTGCCGTTCTTGTTTGTTTTGTTTCTATGCTCTTACATGTTGGAGTGCTGCAGCAATCTGCTGTGTGAAGGCAGCCTTTGCAGCAGGATGCACCTCTGGGTTGATCTAGGCTGGTAACTCAATATTATAGTTAATAAAGCACCATCACTGAGCAAGACATGTTTAAAGGATGTTTATATAAGCCAAGATGCTGATTTTGAAGATGTAGTAGGTAATTAGACTATGTTCGTTTACTTTCATGAAAATGAAACTATTAGAAGCTTTTAGAATAGTGTTAATGCACATAAAATAGGCTACTCTTTATCCGTTATACCTTTTAAATATGCAAATTATGCAATATCATATGCACAAGTGATAGCGACCCCACAGAAAATGACTTGTTTTTGTTATAACGTCATACATATTTCACAACCTCTTCTCATAACATTGTTTATTTAACTATATTTAAATATTTAACATGCATTTGGGGAAATAAACTAGTTTTGTGCCCGTTTTAATATAGGTTATGTTTCATAAAATACCTGTCAATTACCAAAAATATAAAATAAATCAAATGGTTATTTGGAGAAAAAAAATAATGATATAAATTGAATGTTTTTTGTTTTTTTTCAATTCAGTTGAGCTTTTTTTCTGACTTCTGATGAATTGCACATCACAGGTGAACAATCAAAGAGCAAAGCACTGTGACAAAACCCTTTCAGCCAAACACTGATGACATTTTCATGTGAGAAGGATTGAAACAATTCATTAAAATGAAAACCCCTGCTATTATGGGCTGTACAACAGATCACTGGAAAAACCTGATAATAATGACACATTCCACCATCTCAATGCTGGTACACAGAAAGGCCGAAACAGACAGTATACTGGTTTAGGTTTAATTTAAAAGATAGATAGATAGATAGATAGATTAGGGACAGTACAAGTAGACTGTGACATTTATTGCTTGACTTTGTGTCAAAATCTGTGATACCTTAAGGTCCTTTCTTTGGCAGGAGTGTGGACCGAGAAAGAGCCAGCAGGAAGACAACGTGTCAATTTCTCCAAAAATAGCGCCTTCACTCTTTCCTCCAGTCCTCCGATGAGTTCACACTGCTGTTTACCCCTCTTCTTCTTCAACTTCTGTGCAACAGCAGGACAGCAGCTTCAGGCCTGCAGATACAGCATGTTGTTCCTGACCACAATGGTGAAAGTCACTTACTGCGAGACGGGTAAAGCTGCAGCACATCCTGGAGGAGTGTGTATGGAGGTCAGAGGAATATCATATGATGTTGTTAGGAGGATGTTAGTGTACAGTTTGTGCATTGCATTGGTTTGAGACCCTGGTAGTGATTATTAAACTGTGTAAAAATGCACTAAAATCTTCCAAAAATGTAGATTCAGTTGTATCTGCACATCTACAAAAGATATTTTGAAGAACATTGATGTGTGCTCCATAAATGAAAATTAGTCATACAGTTTTGGAGCAACACGAGTAAACGATGACTGAATTGTCCTGTTTGAATGTTTCTTCCTTACTGTCTTGTCCAGACTGTCCTACAAAAATTCACCAGCTTTGTTTTTCCCAAATCCCTAATGTTTGTTCTAGTTTCTGATCCTCAATTTAAATAGGACCGTTAAGAATATGAGTCATTTTTCAGGGAAGGAGTGACTTTAATTCTACGTTTGAAAACTCACTTTAAAAAACGTAATCATTCTTACTTCACACTGAGCTCAGCGTTCACACACCCTGCAGGCCTGTTTCTTTTTTGAGAGTCCAGTTGATGTTCTAATTAAATCTGTCAATTTCCCTTGCAGCCTCACTCATAACCATCCTAAGATTCTGTTTCTGTTCTGTAAAGAGTTCTGGAAAACTTTCAGCTCTGACTGAACTAGTTGCAGCTACGAGACTGAGAATAATCATGCGTTTCTCTAACTTGCTCTTTATTGGTATTGTAACATTAGGAACATCTGAATTCTGCTCTGCTGGACCTCTTCATGCACAGTGCAAAGTCGAGTGGTAAAGTACTCATTTGTGTTACTTTTTTATTTAAAAAAAATGCATTAAAGAATATGAAATCTTTAGCATTAGATTTGCATACAGAATTTAAAGTTATGTTTGAGAAGAAACTTAAATAATGCAAGTGTATTTGTTTATTTTATATTATAAAATGTTTATATGTATACATTTATATAGTGTTTGTGTATATTTATATTTGTAACAGGGGTATTATAGTTAAGTAAACCATTTAGATATACACTACAGTTCAAAAGTTTGGGGTCAGTAAATTTTTATTCTTTCTTTTTTTGAAAGAAATTAAAACTTTTATTCAGGATGTGTTAAATTGTTCAGAAGTGATAGCAAAGATTTATATTGTTAGAAAAGATTCATATTTTGAATAAATGCTGTTCTTTTTGACTTTTTATTCATCAAAGAATCCTGAAAAAAAAGTATTGCAGATTCCAAAAAAATATTTGGCAGCACAACTATTGCCAATATTGATAATTCTAATAATAAATAAGCATATTAGAATGATTTCTTAAGGATCATGTGACACTGAAGACTGGAGGAATGGCTGATGGAAATTCAGCTTTGCATCACAGAAATAAATTATATTTTAAAGGATATTAAAATAGAAACCATTATTTTATATTGTAATAACATTTTGCAAGATTACAGTTTTTTTTCTGTATTTTTTCTTTCTTTATAGTTTTAGCTATAACAGTGATACAGTTGATTGAGAAAACTTTTTTTGTTTTTTTTCTTTCTACCTGATCCCAAACTTTTGACCAGGAGTGTATATTTAAAAAAAAAAAAAGACAAAAACACAACAAAATGACTAAAACTTTAACTATATAAAATATAAAAATAAAAACGAATTCAAATATTAATCAGCTTCCATGATACTAACACATGACTAATTTATATAAAAAAAAAATAACAAAAAATTATGAGGTTTTGATTAGTTAACCAAAAAGTTATGATTTTTTTTTTAAATATCTTAAATCTTTAAGTTTAAACTGTTTTGTTTGTAGAAGTACATTTCCATTCAGAATTGTAGTTGTTTAATCACTATTTTTCTTTGTTCATTTTCCACTATTTAAAATATTTATATGTGGTTATAATGTTTATACAATGTATAATGTAATTAATTTCCAAGTATTCTTATTATGAATTAATTTAAATTTAGATTTTGGAGAAAATACATAGTAATTGTATAGTTTTATAGTACAATAGTATAGTTCTATAGAATTATAAAGTAGATGTGGAGTTTGGGAAAAGGCAGTTTTTAAGTAGTCAGCGCAATAGCTTCGGTTTCTATTAGATGGCAGCATATATTGTATATAGTTGAGAACTTGTGTTTGGCTTATCCCAGGTATTTCAGTCTCCCTTGCAGGAGTGTGTATGAAGCTCTGGTTGCACAAATTCAAAAGCGGAGGACAGTCTCAACCTGTGCCACGGGAGGAGAGAAATGTCTCTACAAGGTGTGTGATTTAATGTAAAGAGATGCGTTTATGTATCATCAGTGTAAACAGAGCCAGATTCACCTCTTAACGTGACATAGGCAAAACACATTTTTGGGCCCCCCTTCCTTATCAATATATAATATTAGCACCCCAGCAAACAAAAATATTTCGTAATCAGTGGAAACTGTTACAGTGTTTTCTATCACAATAAGCACTTATGTTCAGGGACCGTTTCTTTTGGTAAATATTATCAGTCAATAAAGAGCGAATGTAGTTCTTTCTTTGAGAACGGAGAAACGTTCCATTAATAGGCTCCGGCGTCGTGGCCATACCACTTGTCCACTTTCAGGAGAGCATTATTTCTCTAATAGTTTTAATGGCCTGGAGTCACAACCACCTCAAGACATTGTTCAGATGATTTATTTCAAGACATCTGTCATGTTTCCGTCCTGAAATCGTGTGTGTGTTGAAGTAATTTCTTACGCACCTCATCCCAAACCTCCCGTTGCAAATTCCAAAATGTCATTTTAGAGCTAATAACAGACTTGCGCTATTGATATGCAGGCTAATGCAGTTATTAGAGAGAGAGAGAGAGAGAGAGAGAGAGAGAGATTAAGCGCATGTGAATACCTGCGTCTGTGCGTCTCTCAGCAGCAGCGTCTACTAGTAGCGAATCTTTAAGTTGAACTGCTTCAAGAACCTCGCTACTAAGAGATCTCATGTAGCTTTTCATCTGTGAAACTATTTTATTGATAAATTCGCGGGGCAGCGCTGACACCCAATTTCTGTCGGCATCTCCGTGTGTGTGCGTCTGTGAATGTTTGAATGTTTCTTGAGCAGCAAATCAGCTTATTATAAAGATTTCTGAAGGATCATGTGACACTGAAGACTGCAGTAATGATGCTAAAAATTCAAGGAATAAATTACAGTTTAAAATATATTCAAATAGAAATCAGTTATTTTTAATTGTAATAATATTTCACAATATTAGCTTTTATTATATTTCTGATCAAATAAATGCAGATATTGGTGAGCATAAGAGACTTCTTTCAAACACACACAAAAAACGTTTTTTTCCCCTCTGTCCAATCAAATGCTCTATAGAAGGAGAGTGTCCCGCCCTCTAGCAAAAGCAAAAGCTTCAATATGTCTTATTTTAGGAAATACAAAAAAAGAAACTGCACTTATCAAGGTGTTTTTTAAGCTGGCTTCCCTTATGTATTAACTGCATAAGAACTTAATAGTTTAAAAATAAAACGTATAGTTCTAAAGTTGTTGCTATTGTGTAACTCTTCTAAAAAAAAAAAAAGACTTATTCTGTTTTATTCTTTACTTGAGGTTTGTGCTCCTGCTCTGTATTTTCCTCCTCAGTCAATACGGATGAGGGTGACATTTCATATGCTGTCCTTAGAACAATGTTTGGAGACAAATATAGCAGTTCTCAATGGTGTTAGGCTCAGTGTTCTGCACGGACATTTTCTCTCTAAGGGCAGCAATATGCTCCGGTGGGTGCAGCCATCCATCATAGATGTCTTGCACTCATCACTGAAGTCCTGGCTGATGCCATCAGTCTCTGTCTGCTGCAGTGGCGCTCTGTCACCAGAAGAGGGAACTGTTTGCAAGTGTTTTTTTTTAGTACCGTGGGTGCAACGTTTTCATTAGATAAATAATATCTAAAAATGTATTAAATTATATATTTTTAATGGTTTTCATTTTCTTCACTATCATAACTAATATTTTACATAGTATTTTTTGAAGCATATTCATTTTTTTTCTTTTTTTCAAACAAGCATATTTTTGTTTTCTCAGTTTTCTCCACCTAGTATTATTTTTGGTTATTTTTATTATTAATAAAACTGTGACTTCCCACATCAATACTGGTGGTCAAAAATGTAACCCATATTTTCAATATTCAGGGTTGACCAAATGTTAAATATGAGGTTAACACTAGTACAGCAGTGATGAGAGTTCATGGAAGAGATTGGACAGTCTCTTGAGTGAAAGACTGAAATGGTCGCTCTCAGGTGTGAGAAGTTTAAGTAGCTGAAAGAAGAAAGGTACTCCATTACAGCCCAGAATATTGCAGAGATTTTTCACATTTACTGAACCATTACTGTAGACTGAGAGACACAGTATTAAATAATGTCACACTGGAACCCACACAAACCTTTTATAAAACTGCAGGATCTGTTGATCTGCGCAATGCTGTGCCTGTAAACAAGAGATATAAAATTAGGGAAAACAGCGGATTTTGTGAGGCGTATTTAGCTCAAATGAACGTTTCTTTGAAGCTAAATCAAGTTTATTTAATTATATCTGTCATTTTTGCTTACTGTCAGTTTCTCTTTTCCTACTGTAATTCCTACACTGGGAGCATTTTGAATCTCTCTCAGAACCGAGTTAGCTGAATTTAAGCACTTCAGCCCTCAACATTACGAAGTATATCATTGATGAAAGGGTGCACAACCCTTTCAAAACCAATTAAAGAGGCCTTAGCCCTCAGGGGTGGTGAGTGAAGGGCTGACAGGAGACCACAGAGGAACTCAGAGAGGTAATCAGTGCCTTGCTTTTGAACAATATTGAAAAGCACAACAGTATCGCACAATAAATCACGTAGGTTTTCAAGGACAAACAGGTCGTCTCCTTAAATACACCTTGTGACATGTTCACCTTTCTGTCTGCTGTCAGATTGTTTACTTATTTACAGTGTGTGTCAATAGCAGCCTGTCGCTAGTTATTAAAGCATGGAATTTGGTAGTGACGTTATTTTATTGATTAAATACCACAGGAGCACTGACAAACACTACAACATTAGATTTTCCTTGACAATTTTTTAGTGATAAAATAATACAAGTATTTTCGGCCAGCTGGTGAGAATTCCAACTCATAGATGTCCGATTCGCAAATGACTCACTGTTTTGAGTCAATTCTGTTCAATTGAACAAAGCAATCTGAATCAGTTTGCAATTCAGTCTAAATCTTGAAACTGCAGTTTAAAGAATTGTTCCACCCAAAAGAATATCAAAATGCTCAGGCTGATGATACACGGGGCAACTTTTTGCTTGGGCACTTTTCCATTGAGAATGGGTAACAAATTTCTATATGGATACTTTAAATTGGTCATGGGCCCTGTGTCTCACCTGGTTGCCCGTTGACGGAAAATTTGCCCAAATTTGCCCAGCAACATTGCTCAAATAGTTGCCCCGTGTATCATCAGCCTTACAGTACATGAAAGCCAATTACAAACTTATGAAGCAAAAAAGTATTAAATGCTTTAAAATATAAACAATTACAACTTTAATGTGACATTTTACATTAAATGTGCAAAAAGGATGAATTAAAAGACATTTTTGCAGAACTGGCATCTCTGATTTCTCCAACCAAGTTTCAACATAGAGGAAACGTTATGATTTCAACCGAATGGGTCAGTGGTACATGTTGAGTCAACCTTATTTCAGTGTTGAATGGATGTTTTATTTTCGACCTAATAACGTTCCGATTAACCAACCAAATAGTGAATGACTAAACAATGAAAATTGATTGGCAACTGATACTTACCTTTACAACTAAAAATAGACATTGAATTGACGTCTGCTTGCTATTGACTTGAATTATTTGAAGTGCCATATGTAAAAAATAGTGTACATGGATATGGTAGTCATTATATATTTTATTTTCTATGACAAAATATACCATCACTACCACTTTTTTAAATTATAAAACATGTTTTGTTTTTGATTTTTTAAATTACTTTAATTTTTTATATTTAAAAAATATGAAGTTGTTTAAACAGAGCTAAATTTGTCTTGATTTGTGTGAGTAGTTTGCCCAACATTGCATATTCATTAAAAATATATTAAAGTGGTTTTCTGGTATAAACATATCCGTACTCTTAAAGTAAAAGAGAAGAATATCTGCAATTAAAATTAAAATTAAAATTCATGTAACAGTAATTTTGCATTTAAATTTACATCTATATTTCTAGTCAATGCCTGTGTGACAGTGCAATGTTGCAGGTGTCCAAACACTGAACCTTGTGGCACCCCAGTGCTGAGAGTACAGGCTGAAGTGAGACAGTCTTTCCAGCTGACTAGTTACAATCTGTTACCCAGGTAAGACTCCAAGACATTTAAGTTGCACCTGAGGCACACCTATGAGTTTTGTTATTGATGATGTTCAGGTTCTTTTTACGTGATGTAGTGAATATCACCCCACGTCTTTACCACACCACTTTTGCCCTCCAATTTGGCCTTCTCCTACTTACACTTTATAATACCATCATCTGAAAATCTCTCCTGCACAATCAGACCTGCAGATGTCATTATACTATCAGCACAGATTAAATTCTACTAGCATCATGGAGTGGCATGCATATCCCGAGGGCACATAGGCATAGAGCACTACCTGACAGCATTAGGCCTGTCACCAGCACCCCTCTCACATCTCTTCCCCCTCACTAGGCCTGTCATCACTAATCTTGTCCCCTTCTCACAGGAAAAAAAAATCACAGGGAGAAACCCAATGTGCTCTCTGATTGGGATGTGTGAACTCGGAATGTAGGCCATTAATCTGTTGTACCCAAGGTCCCCTCAACTTAAGATAAATTGGTTTACTTTTTCTTTATTTTGTCATAAATCAGTTGCTGACCATTTGCCAGTTTTTAGCTTTTTATTATATTATTTTATTATTGTTGCAATATTTATTTTGTGCTGCTTTATTTGAAGGTATTTATATTTTATTTATTTATTTATTTGAAACAATTTATTTGAAAAAAAAAAAACAAGGTTGAAATTATGAGATACTATGTGATAATTATGACATAAAAAGCAAAATTAGGAGATACTAAGTCATTATAATGACAAACAAGTCAAAACTATGTTATAATTATGACCAAAAAAAATCCAAATTAGAAGAAACAAAAACATAATAATGACATGTCAAAATTATGAGATAGTATCTCATAATTTTGCTTTTTGTCATAATTATGATGTAGTAAGTCGTAATATTACTAACATAAAAACGTGAAATTATGAGATATGTCAATTATGACATAAAAAGCACAATTAGGAGATACTAAGTCATATAATAATAATAAAAAAAGTTGAAACTATGTAATATTAAGTCATTATGACAAAAAAAAAAAATTAAATACGAAAGCATAATAATGACAAAATGTTGAAATTATACTAAGATATATATTAATATATAATTCAGTTATGAGATGAAAAATCAAAATTATGAGATCAAAAGTCTTTACTAATATAAAAATCATAAAGTCTGTTTTATGTCACCAATGACCTTTTCAAATCATTATGGTGACTTTTTATCTCAATTTTTACTTTTTATGTTAATTTTGACTATCTTGTAAATTTAACTCTTTGTCTCATAATTATGAGTACATCATAATTTTGGCTTTTTGTCTCATAATTTTGACGTTTTATCATAATTATGACTTGTGTCAATTTTGCTTTATCTCATAACTTTGACTTAACATTATTTATTTTATTTATTTATTTACTGAAATGTGCTTCCATAATATTTGGTTAAGTTGGAAAACTGTAAAAAAAAAAAAAAGGGGTAGCAAGCCAGATTAAAAGTTTAAATTAAAACCAATTACCACAGCTGAATGTGTCAGATCATATGCACAAACGCTAGGCCACATCTTAAACAGTTTATGTTGTAATTTATAGATTTAAATAAGACCAAGTAAAACGGTTTAAATCCCCTTACTCTTTCATAGTAAAAGCCTGAGGTCTGTCCTTTGCCACTCATTCATGCGAGTGAAGCATCAGTAAAATGTCTTTGCCTTTTCATCTCTTTATGAGGTTCTGCACAAATCAGCCTCCATTAGAATGCTCAACAGGTTGTCTATTTAAAGCATCCAGCAACTCATTTGCAGGGGTGGTTTGCCTGTGATATTATTTTCCTTTTAGATTCTCAGTGCATTAATGAAATCCTCACTCACATGATTTCATTTGGCCTGTGCGTTAATGGCAGAGGAAGTAATAATTACATTCAAATATTCATTTGGGCCCGGAGACAGAACCATGAATCATTAGTGCTCACTATGTCGAACACAAGCTCCTGTCCCTTTTCTTTTCCCAGTCTCTGACCAGATGAATTAAAATGAAAAATAATTGCAATTCCCTTGCAGAGGGCGTTTAAAAAAACACTTTTGGTAGAATTGGTTGAGCGAAGAGGGCGAGTGATGAGACTCATTTGTTATGCGGTGTTCTGAACACGCTCAAGCTTAATGACGACGAAGAGAGACAGAGATCAAGGACGATGTCGGGATTGTAGTAATGGCTGTGTGATAATCGCCATGGAGATGGAGCTATAGGACTCAAATGTGTCGTCTGTTTGAGAGGTCCGGTGATGTTAAGAGGGTGGGTGAGTTAGAGTGAGATTTTGGGAAAAAATTATAAGAGGAGGAATGTTTTATTGCTCAGATGTTGCTCATTTATTATGTCATACATTTAAACTTCAGGAGCCTTAACGGAGTTCAATTGTTTCATTTGAGCATCAAATTTGTCTCATGTTTCTACAGTTAAAATAAATGAAGATAACATATCTGAGGTGAATTTATCTTTTAAGAACAGTGTTTTTATTGCAGTTTTTGGGGGTTTCATTAAATTTGAGCACAGTTTGATATATTTTTGAGGTCTTCTCTATCTTTTTTTCAATTTTTTTTATAGCACTATAGCATATTTTATAGTTATAGTATTTAATAATCCTCAAAAACAGACACTTATGTTCAAGATACAATCTATGAAAAAGTCTTAATATCTTACTTTTTTACTTGCTTTCTACTAATCCTCAAAAATATACAGATTTTTAGTTTTATTAAGAGAATATATATATATAGAGAGAGAGAGAGAGAGCAAGCAACACCATAGAGAAAGCAACGCCAGTTGGAAAAATGGGGGAAAAATACTATGGAAGTCAATGAGGACCAGCAATTGTTTGGTTAGCTACAGTTTATGTTTAACAGAAAAAAGAAACTCATACAGGTTTGAAACAACTTGGTGAATAATGATAACAATTTTCTTTCTTTTTTGGCTGAACTATTCCTTTAATTCATGCAGAATACAATTTATGAGCAATCGCCAATGTGCCCTTGAGCAAGGCACTTAAAACCAGGTTTCTCCAGTGCGTTCGTTTCATTTGTTAGGTGTATTGTAAATTACCTTGGATAAAAGTGACTGCTGTATGACTACTTATGTACCACTTACAAACATGTGTCACTGCTTAAAGAGAATGCAAAGCCACTCGACAGCATTCCAACAGTTGCTTCAGCTTTAAACACATACTTGAGCTCAATCTGTTCAATACAACTCAGGTCCTTTAAAGAGCTCTCGTCCTAATTACTTTACTGTTTGCAATGCCATGGGATAAATCTATAACCTGGCCTCCCCAACAAAGAACAGCAGCCAATTACTGATAAATGTGTTTTCAGTATAACACCGTAAACAAGTCTGAAGTGAGCATCTAATTGTGCGGGAGGACAGGACCTTCGCTGTGCCATTTAATTTAATGAAAAATAACCATTACGACCATATCCACCAAATGCTCAGGGCGGATCACTCCAGGTTGTTTTCGAATGTCCTTTCATGACATGAATTTAGCGCTTGCTTATTCTTTTAGAATTTACCTGATTATTCATTTCAATAATTGTGAATGGGCAATTTTACTGACTGCCTCTCAGTTTATCTCTCTTTCTCCTCAGGTCATCTCTTCGTCATTCTCTCATGTCTTTGTCCATCACAGTGGATCGTGGAGCTGATATCCTTCTTTTGTCAACATTTCTTGCTGGTGTTTAATTTAATTTGTTATATATATATATATGAGAATGGTTGTATGGTCAATACCTTGTATTTTGGTTGTAGGTCAATACCGTACCAATTTTTACCTGGGGTGAATTCCAAACTGCTTTTTTTTTTTTTTTGGCACTTAAATGACATTACAGGAAGGGCATACTTTCCTAGGCTAATTCTGAAGAAAATGAAGCAATGCAGTCCATTCATGGCTGAAATTCCATTCAAATATGAGCATCACTTTGCTTTATTAGATTAATTACAAGATTAATAAAGGATATAATTTTTATATTAATATATTATATTAATTATATATATATATATATATATATATATATATATGTG